CCCGCCTCAGCCTCCTCAATCAAAAGCCTTCTTTACCATCTTCCCGTCCTCCTGCCAAGCTCTGAGGCCAGGCTGCAGAACCAGACAACCGGGCTCCCCTTCCAGCTTCCTCACTCGCCTCAGGTGAATTACCAGCTTCCCTGTGCCTTGGTACCTGGCATACAGGAAGTGCTTCATAAACTATCATTCTCACTTCTAGGAAGCCTCCAGCAAGAGGCTGCTGGCTAGCCTTCCTCTCTCTCAACACAGTCAAAGGCCCTCGCTCCTCTTCAATCTCAGACGGTCCCGGTCTTCTGTGTGGCCCCCACCCTCAGTTGGTGGGAATAGGAATCCTGAGGCCAGTTTCCTAAGGTGACCCTGAGCCCTTAATGACCAACAGGGCGTATGCAGGGAGCAGGCTCTAGGCTATTCATCTTGGATGCCTAGCTCATGGCTCAGCGACTTAAATCTGTGCCCAGAGGCCTCACCTAGCCTGCCCTGGCTGCAGTGAGAACCCCAGGAATGTCCTCCTCTTACCTAGATGCTGTGCTTTTCACCTGCTGGCTTCCTAACCAGGGGCCTGGCTCTAGAGTCAGGCCTCATCTGCCATATTCCATCTCACCCAACCCAGGTTTTCCAACCCTCTCTAAGGTACACTGACTCACCTTTGCATCTGTCCTCTTAAGTGTTCATGTCTCAGCATCAGTAAAAAGGCCAAAGAGGTTTAACAGACCTCTTTAGCTAAGTGGCAAATGATATAACTAGAAACATAAATAGTTTACTTCGACAACCAACTTCAAGGACCCACTGAATATTAATAAGCTGATGGGTTAAGAGGCACTTTATTAAATGCCTCTGTTTATCAGATGAAGGACTGAACAATCTCGTAGTTGGCAAAGTTACACAACTGCCCACTATTAGTGACACTGACAGTGGGATAAGGGCTGGCTCACACACACTCAAAACATGTGCTTATCCTCTTCATCTGGATAAACTTGATTCTTTCTTGTGTAGCTGTTCCTGGAACAGGAATAAAAAACCTGGAAAAAGATTCTTACAGCTATCAGTGTACATGCTTCAAGTCTCACTCAGGGATAGGGGAAATGAAGAAACCGACAGCAGAAACTCACCAGCAAACAAAACATCAAGGGAAACAGCCACTTTACTGCTGGGCTGATAAGAATTTTGGGGGGTTTTTTGTTTGTTTTTTGAGATGGAGTCTTGCTCTGTCGCCCAGGTTGGAGTGCAGTGATGCGATCTCAGCTCACTGCAACCTTTGCCTCCCCAGTTCAAGCAATTATCCTGCCTCGGCCTCTTGAGTAGCTTGGGATTACAGGTACGTGCCACCACACTCAGCTAATTTTTGTATTTTTAGTAGAGACAGTCTCACCATGTTGGTCAGGCTGCTTTCAAACTTCTGACCTTGTGATCCACCCACATCAGCCTCCCAAAGTGCTGGGATTACAGGCATGAGCCACCACGCCTGCCTTAAGAACTTTTTGTTTTTAATTATGCAATCAATACATGTTCCTTGTATACAGAAAAGAAGCTCAATCCCCAGGTTTAAAAATGATGATTATAATAGCAGCAGCTACTGGTAAATGATATTGTTTCCATTTACTATATGCCTGCACTTTCAGGTCCATTATCTTCCTTATTTATTCTCCATAATCCTGAAATGAAGTCATATTTACTGAAAGAACTAAAGTAGGGGTTAAGAATACAGGATTTGGGCAGGGTACGGTGGCTCACGCCTGTCATCCCAGACAATCCCAGCCACTTGAGTCTAGGAGTTCAAGACCAGCCTGGATACCAAAAGAAGCAGATGCCTAAAAACCAAAGCTGGTCATTTTTAAAGTATACTAGCTGAGTCTTAGAGTTTTTACCTCTGCACCATGTCTAGTAATAGAAAAGGAATTATTAGGTATACTGAAATGCTTAATAGTGAATCATTTAGTCTAGGGGCATGTGTCATATCTCCTTAACTCTTAAATAGTTGCCCTGTCATCTAATTGAGAACAATGTCCTCACAGAAGTTTATCTTATCTGGAATTCTCTTTTTTTTTTTTTTTTTTTTTTTTGAGATGGAGTCTCACTCTGTCGCCAGGCTCTGTGGCCAGACCGGAGTGCAGTGGCATGATCTTGGCTCACTGGAACCTCTGCCTCCTGGGTTCAAGCAATTCTTGTGCCTCAGCCTCCTGAGTAGCCTCAGCCTCCCGAGTAGCTGGGATTACAGGCACACACCGCCACACTCAGCTAATTTTTTTTTGTATTTTTAGTAGAGACAGGGTTTTACCATGCTGGCCAGGATGATCTCGATCTCCTGACCTCGTGATCCACCCACCTTGGCCTCCCAAAGTGCTGGGATTACAGGCATGAGCCACCGTGCCTGGCCTGGAATTCTTTTTAAATGAAAAAAGGCCGGGCACAGTGGCTAATGCCTATAATCCCAGCACTTTCAGAGGCCGAGGCAGGTGAACTGCTTGAGGCCAGGCGTTGAGCGTGGCCAACATGGTGAAATCCCATTTCCAGTAAAAATACAAAAATTAGCCAGGCATGGTGGCAAAGCCTGTAGTCCCAGCTACACAGGAGGCTGAGGCAGGAGAATAGCTGAAATCTGGGAGGTGAAGGTTGTAGTGAGCTGAGATTGCACCACTGCACTCCAGTCTGGACGACAGAGTGAGACCCATCTCAAAAAGAAAAAAAAGAAAAGAGAGTAACTTTTGACTTTTGGTGGAGACTCAACCAACTTAAATGTGGCAGGTTGCAAGTACACAGCTTAGCAGTACCCATTCACCAAATGGAGTAATGCTAATCAATCTCAATTTTTGCCAACCATAAGACAACCAATGCTTCTCTTCCTCTACAACTTCTGGGCAATTATAGCACTAATTTTGAGTCATTCAAAAACCAAGTCTGTAACACACGGGATAAAATGTATGAAGCCAAAAAGAACAACCATATCAGATTTCAAGGGTAATCACAAATCCTCATCCTAACGGCTAGGTTTGTTAGTTTGAAACTTGAGGGCACCAATACCTCCAAGTATTGTTGGGATATTTTAAAAGCAGAGTTTCTCGGCTGGGCGTGGTGGCTCACACCTGTAATGCCAGTACTTTGGGAGGCCGAGGCAGGCGGATCACCTGAGGTCTGGAGTTCGAGACCAGCCTGATCAACATGGAGAAATCCTGTCTCTACTAAAAATACAAATTAGCCGGGCGTGGTGGCACATGCCTGTAATCCCAGCTATTTGGGAGGCTGAGGTGGGAGAATCACTTGAAATCAGGAGGCAGAGGTTGCAGTTAGAGAAGATCGTGCCACTGCACTCCAGCCTGGTCAACAAGAGTGAAACTGTCTCAAAAAAAAAAAAAAAAAGAAAAACAAACAAAAAAAGCACCGTTTTTCAACAGAGGCGCTACTGACTTTGGGGGCCAGATAAGTCTTAGTTGTGGGGGGCTGTCTTGGCCATTGCAGGATGTTTAGCAGCATTACTGGCCTCTACACGCTACCAGTAGCACCCACTTTCCACTTGCAACAACCAAAAAAGTTCCCGTACATTGCCAAATGTCCCCAGGGGAATTGGGGTTGGGGGTGCAAAATCACCTCCAACTGAGAGCACCACTGCCTTAAAAGAGATGACAATAATGAAAAGATCAAAGCATCAAAGCACTTTAGAATAGGAAGGATTTTAAGGAGCCTGAGAAACAGTGATTCTCAAACTTTGCTAGGTATCAGCCTCCTTGGGGAGTTTGTTAAAATGCGGCACCTGGACCTCACCCCAGACCTATCAATAGAGTTGAGTGTTGGGTTTTGCCCCAGCACCCACATCCTCATTCTACAGCTAAGTTAACGTGAGCCAGAGAGGGAAAATGCCTTGCCCAAGGTCACAGGGCGAGTTAGAACTTGGCTTCCAAAATGAACCAAGCCCTTCCTTACAGCAAGGAGGGTGTGCTATTCTTACGTCTTTGAGGCAGCAGAACCTAAAAATGGTTAAGACGGTGCATTCCGGAGCCAGCCGGCCCGAGTTAAAATCCCGACTTGGCATTTATCAGCGGGGTGGCCTCGCACAAGGCACGTAACCTCTGAGAGCCTCAGTTTCCTTCTCTGTCCAGCGGGAAAGTAACAGTATCTACCCCCCAGCGTTACTGTAAAGGTGAAAGAGCGAAGATGTACAAAAAGCCCGTGGTACGGTAAGTACTCGATACGTGTCCTATTATTAGGACTGTCCCACACCTGCAATGTGGAAAGGGCCTGGGGAACCCGGGGACAGAGGGTTGGAAATGGGCTTAGGGAGGCGAAACAACCCCCGCCCGATTTCCCGCAATCCCCTCCAGGAGACGGACCCCCACCCCGCCCCTCACCTGGCCCTGCAGCTCCTTCTCGAGCTGCCGGTAGTCGTTGTTCCAGACTAGGAGGTGCAGCGGGTAGTGGTCGCCGGCATCGCCGGCCGAGGACATGGCGAGGAGGCCGTAACCGGGCCCTCGCCGCCCGACCGCCCCAAGTCTCGGCCCCGGCGGGGTCTCAGGCGCCCGCCCGCCTGCCCCGCGGCCGGTGAGTGAGCGAGCGAAGGGCGCGTTACACGGCCGGCCGGCTGAGCGGGTCGGGTGCGGGGCGCGCGGGAGGTTCGGGGTCGCAGGCCAGCTCTGGGACCTGGTCGGCCGCGCCCACCCCGCGCCCCGCGACGTTCCCGCCGGCGCTGACAGCTTGCGGACCGACTTCTGCGGACTGAACTGCCCCAAACAGGGAAGTGTAGAGAGCGAACCACCGCATGCCGCGGCGGGGGGAGGCGCCCTCGGGCACCGGGTCCGGGGTCCGCGCCATTTCACCCACCTCCAGCTCACACCAGAAAACTCACCGCAGCCCACAGAGCAGAGCTGCGGTTAATTCTCTTGGCTTAAGATCTCCACGAGGAAAGTTCTCTCTATCTATCCCCAGCTTCTTTCCCCTGTTCCAGTGGCCCCATGTGGTTCAGTCCACAACTGGGCCTCTTCCACTTGCCCTGCAGCCAGAGGGTAACAACTGAGGCCCGGACCAAACCATTCCAGCTGCTGACACCTTTGAATCCTTTTTGGAGCAGGGCAGATGCTTCCACGACGGATCAGAAGCCATTTTGGAAGTGGGCAACACCAGACAATTTTTGAAGGAGGAACTCTAAACCTTGGCGAAGTGGCTTCAAATATAGCATTTGCATAGAAGAGGATATTTCTAGTTCATGATTTCTCAACCTCGGCACATTTTGAACTGGGCAGTTTTTGTGGGGGGGTTGTCTGGTCCTTTGCAGAATGCTGAGCAATTTCCCTGGTCTTTCTCCCTACTCAATGCCAGGAGCACCCCCCAAAACATGTCTCTCCAGATATTGTCAAATGTCCCCTCGGGGAGAAAAATCCTCCTCAGCTGAGCTGTTCTATTTTTTTTTTTTTTTTTTTTTGAGACGGAGTTTCGCTCTTGTTGCCCAGGCTGGAGTGCAATGGCGCGATCTCGGCTCACCGCAACCTCCGCCTCCTGGGTTCAGGCAATTCTCCTGCCTCAGCCTCCTGAGTAGCTGGGATTACAGGCATGTGCCACCATGCCCAGCTGATTTTTTGTATTTTTAGTAGAGACGGGGTTTCACTATGTTGACCAGGATGGTCTCGATCTCTTGACCTCATGATCCACCCGCCTCAGCCTCTCAAAGTGCTGGGATTACAGGCGTGAGCCACCGCGCCCGGCCTGAGCTGTTCTATTTGAACTCCAAACCAGGTTATGATTCAATGGCTACCTATGGTGGTGATTTAGTCCGTGTATGAATGTCATTTTTAAGTTAGCATTTTGGATTTGAGGTTATGGCTGAAAAGACTGATAAATAACACCCATATTTGACCACACTCTGCGAATATGAAGTTTATCCTTTGAGTTTCAGTCACTATGCCTCCTTGACTCAATGGAGCCAAATCAACTTACAGCTAGCTACTCGTGGGCTTGAACTTTCTGCTGCTGCTTCAGCTCAGCTGTCTACAACTAGACCACTTAGCTGGGTGAAGCTATTTAACGCATTGTGAAAACATTCCCTTTGCCTTCTGAGTGTATGCACATCCAGCTCTTCAGATGCCTGCAACGACAACTGTTCAAGAATCCCAGCCTAATCCATTCTCCACAGATGTGGAGCCCAGAAGATTTGTGAGTTGCTAAACCAAAACAGGATGCAGGATCCCCAGCATGGCACCCGGAGACTCTTAACTATGGAATGCATGGGAATTCTGTGATTATCCCTACATCACACATTTATCACACTGGAGAGATGGACTCAAGACCAGTGCTTCTGAGGCCTCTACCAGCACTTTCATTCTTTCAGACTTTGGCAACTTAGTCTTCTTCTTTATCATCTCGTTTATTGAACATCTCCCTATCTCATTAATCAGAAAACCCCACAATGACAGGAACCACATCTGTTTTGCTTACCAGAGTACCAAAAACCAAAATAGTACCTGGCTCACAACAGGTATCCAATATTTGCTGAAAGGAGATCATAGTTGTATTTATATGTAAGACTGACAATAATCATTGGTATTAGGGTCACATCTCTTTTCTCCTTCACACTGATTCACTTCATTTCATTGTGTTTATCTCATACCATTCTGTAAATTACCCCAGGTTAGCTATTCATATTCTCAAATTCCTAACATATGAAGAAAAACAGTAATTAGAAAATAAGAGCAATATCCATAATTATGGGAGCTACTATTTATTGAGGGATTACTATTGAGCAGGTATATCACATTTTTTCCATAATTTATTCCATCTGTCCTTAGCCAGAATGAATGTTTAACTTTGCTGGTCACATACAAGTTTTGTTGCATATTCTTCTTCCTCTTTTTCTTTCTTTCCCTCTCTCCTTCATTTTCATCTCCCAACCCTTTAAAAATGTAAAAATCATTTTAAAATAGCAAGCCATACAAAAACAAGTCATGACTAGAAGTAAACAACACATTATCTTCATTTTGAAGATGAGGTTAAAACTGAAGCCCAAAGAAGGAATCATCTAACATATTCTTTTTTGTTATTGTTTTGGGGTTTTTTGGTTGTTGTTATTGTTGCTGTTTTTGAGACAGTCTCGCTCTGTCACCCAGGCTGGACTGCAGTGATGTAATTTCTGCTCACTGCAACCTTGGCCTCTCCGACTCAAGCAATTCTCATGCCTCAGTCTCTGGAGTAGCTGGGATTACAGGCATGTGCCACCACACCCGGCTAATTTTTGTATTTCTGTATTTTCACCATTTTGCCCAGGCTGGTCTTGAACTCCTGGCCTCAAGCGATCTGCCTGCCTCAGCCTTCCAAACTGCTGAGATTACAGGAGTGAGCCACAGCGCCCACGCTGGAATCTTATAATATAATCTTAGTTTAATTTATCTACCCCAGTAAAATACAAGCTTCATAAGGATTGGAAATTCAGTCTTTGCTCACTAGTTTCTCTAGTGGCCGGGACAATGTATGAAACATGGTAAGTGCTTGATAAATATTTGTTGAATAAAGGAATGAATGAATGAACTTGACCGCTGATATCCTCAGGAAGGTTGTGGCTCCAGCGTTCTCATCACAAGATATTGCTGCTTCCGCTGGTATTAATCAGTCGGGACGAGGGGAATCTCTGCCAGAGAGGGAGACCCAAATTCAATATTTAAAGGTCGGACAGATGATGCTAGGGCAGCCTTCTGCCCTCACTCAAGATGGCGACAAGGCAGTGTGCCCTTTCCGGTCACATGACCTGACAGTCGCAGAAGGGCGCCTCCCCGCGCGTGCGTGCTGTGCCAAGGCTTCAAGGCGCTGAGGGGAGAGGCGCCGCTGCCAGCTGCCTTGCCGCCGCTGGGACCCGTTAGAGCGGAAGCGCCGCCGCCGCCGCAGCCTTTGCTGTCCTGGGGCCTCTAGTTCCCGGCGGGTGGGAAGCGCAAGCCATGTCGAAACGGCTCCGGAGCAGCGAGGTGTGCGCTGACTGCAGCGGGCCGGGTGAGTCGCACCGGCCGGGCCCGCTCCCCTTTGCTTTCCTGGCCGGGACCCCTACCCCGGGGCCGCCCCCTCAGGTCAGGCGGCATCCCGCCGCCAGGCGTCCGCAGCCCGTGGCGGGGGTCGCAACGAAGGGGTCCCGGGGCGGCCTTGGGGCGGGACCCGTCCCGGGCCTGTCAGAGCCTGGCGGGCCGTGGGCCGCCGCCCTCCCGGTCCCTCGCGGCCCTCCTTTCCTTCTCGTTCCCTCCGGTTCCCTTGTCCCATGCCAACTGGGGAGGTGACGGGGGCCAGAGCTGCTCCCCGAACGGAAGGGGCTTGGGCAATCCACAGGAAAGCCAATTACAGAAGTAAAATGCGAGCGTCCTCTCGGCTGCAGCCTCCAGAGCTGCAGGTGTCACCTCCCACACTAGACCCTCTTTCCGCCTGGGGGCCCTGCCCGGGGAGGGTGACACTCCCTTAGACTCGCCAGAGAGTCCCCATAGATGACTTCCCCGCTCCTGACATCCTGACAGCTACTCCGCTTGGGAGAATCGCCAGGAGATCCAGGTCTTGCAAACACAACCAGCACTTAGGAGGCAGTGCTTGCCTCAAGTTTGAGGATCTGAACGGCCTGGGTTCAAACTAGATTTTGCTTCTGGGTGACCTTGGGCTGGTGACTTCACTTGGTTACTTGGCTTGATTTCCTCATTTTTTCGATGAGGATAATCGGGAGTGTCACTCTCAGTGGTGAGGAAGAGTCAGTGAATACCCGTAGGATCACATCATCTAAGGCTTTTCTTTTTTGTATTATATTGTTTACAGTAGAACCCTTGCAGTCCCTTAAAACTGGAATTGGCTGTCTAAATCATACGTTAATTACAACTGAAACAAACGCAAAATCACCAACAATATAGGGGCATTGAAACGCTAAAACCATTCCTTCATAATGATGCATAACTGTTTATACATAATATTCACATGTAGAGATCAAATGTGTCTTAGCAATTGCAACTGAATTGTCAAGTCTCTGAATAGATTACTACATGCTGTTTTAGGTGTGTGGATGTATTAGCTTTGAGTAATTTGAAGGTAGCATGGCTTTCTTGTGGCACAATAGTGTCCAATAAACAATCTTAATTAAATCATTGAACACCACTGGCTTTGCAACTGTTCTGATCTTCAGCTTGTCGTTTAGAAGTGGAGACTGATTTTGAATAGAACTGTGATAACTCAAACGTTGTGTGGTTATTTTATGGCCTGTGAAGTGCAGGTGCTGTTACCAGTTTCCTTTGAAGATGGGGAGGGGGTGTGGAGGAGTTCAAAAAGAAGTATTTTCTAAACCAAGTTAGTGTGAATTATACAAACTACGTCTTTTTTTCTAAAAATGTTATTTGTTCCACTTCCTTATTTTCTTGCTTATTTTCAGTTGAACTTTGATGTGTTTGATTCACATGTGTCTAGCTTGTAACTTCCTCTTGGAATGCATATTTTTTTGCTTCTTGATGGGGTATGGGAAAAAGCAAAGTTGTTTCTTTGTTGCCACCTTAAATATACTTTTGCAGCATTTCGTGCATTTCAGAATATTTTTCTTCCATTGTATCGCTTTAGCTCTTGTCTCATATGCCTAATCTGCAGAGACTTGAGTCACTTCCTTCCTGTTTTGAATATAATTAGGCTACCTTGAAATGCTCTGTGAAATTGAGCAGCTAGAAATTTGTACTGCCTTTTCTGCAAAGCCCTAATGAGAGAATTACCTAGAGGGTTAGGGACCTCTCTGAGATTCTGATGAATGCTAAGGCCTTCTCCCCTTAAAATGCATGTGAACTTTCTCTTTCACGCAGAATTTATGTAAGATTTGTCTGGGGGAGTCACAAACATTTTTGAAGTGCATTTGTGGTGTCCCTGGAGCCCTGGCATAAAGCCTCCAGGTGAACTTAGAGGGTTTTACCCAATCTTATCATACAAACTTAATTTTATTTTACTATGTTAACATTCTAATATTCTTTCCATGAGATTCTGATCCAGGATGCTAAAGTGGTTAGTCGAATACCTGTCTTAATTAATATGTGTTAAATTCTTGCTGTCTTGTTTAATTTCCTCAGGAATACTGCAAATCCTCTGAATGATAAGTGAAAAACAAAGCTATGCTTCAAAACAGTCTTTTTTTTTTTTTTTTTGGTCATTCATGGCAGTACTATACTGTGGAAAGCAGTGTTGTTATGCATCTTTTTTTTTTTTTTTTTGGAGTCAGAGTTTTGCTCTTGTCCAGGCTGGAGTGCAATGGTGCAATTTCGGCTCACTACAACCTCTGCCTTTCAGGTTCAAGCGATTCTCCTGCCTCAGCCTCCTGAGTAGCCGTGATTATAGGCGTGCACCACCACCCCGCTAATATTTGTACTTTTAGTAGAGGACAGAGTTTCACCATGTTGGCCAGGCTGATCTCAAACTCCTGACCTCGTGATCCACCTGCCTTGGCCTTCCAAAGTGCTGGGATTACAGGTGTGAGCCACTGCGCCTGGCCTGTTATGTGTTTTTATTAAGCTCTTTCATCTGGATATTACCAATCTTGTTTTTTAGGGTGATATAGTAATAGTGACAGAGTTATACTTCATTGAATTATCTTGATTCTGCTTTATGGCAAATGTTTAACCATGATCACATCTTCTTAAGTATTCTTGTTTTATTTTTTTATTGAATCTAGTTCATTTCAAAGACATCACACTCTTTTTTTTCTTTATTTTATTTTGTGTTTCTTTTTTGTTACGGAGTTTCACTCATGTTACCCAGGCTGGAGTGCAATGGCGCAATCTCGGCTCACCGCAACCTCCGCCTCCTGGGTTCAGGCAATTCTCCTGCCTCAGCCTCCTGAGTAGCTGGGATTACAGGCACGTGCCACCATGCCCAGCTAATTTTTTGTATTTTTAGTAGAGACGGGGTTTCACCATGTTGACCAGGATGGTCTCGATCTCTTGACCTCGTGATCCACCCGCCTCGGCCTCCCAAAGTGCTGGGATTACAGGCTTGAGCCACCGCGCCCAGCCTGACATCACACTCTTGAGTTCAATTACCTGAAAACTCCATGGAGATTTTCAGCACAGTAGTATAGTGGTCACATGAAATGTTCAATGTTTTAAGTATTTCCCATCAAAAACTTTTTCCAGTGATCATGAGTTTCGTGGACTCTAAAAAGCATATGAATACTGAGAAAATAATTTAGGAAAGATAAAACAGCTAACATTACTGAGTACTTTACTATGTGCGAAGTACTTCATTTACTCTCTATATCCTTACTCTCCCGAGATATGTTATTATTCTCATTTGATCCATGGTGAGAACACTCAAAGAAGTAACTTATCTGAGATCATTGTGTGAGAAGTGGCAGAGTTGGGGTTCAAACCTTGAACTGCTTGTCTCTGGAGCCAACCCTCTTAAGCACCACACTCAACTGACTCCCAGGATTCATCTTTGACTGAAAGCATATAACTTTTCATTATATGGTTTGAAAGGGTTTGAATAAACTCCTAAAAAATGGTAAAGATGGTGTACATGCATTTTAGAGATTTTTGTGGACATTGAAGAATTTTAAAATGTAACCCTTAGACCAGGCAGCTTAAGTGGCACTTATTGTCACCCCATTGTGAGTCTGATGAAATGTAGGTCTTTCTTTATTTGAGGTTTCTAAGTATTCAGTTTACTTACCCAGATCCATCCTGCTTGCCAAGTATGAAATTATCCCTTGTTTCAAGAGACATCTAATGAAGCTCAGTGATTTTAAAGGGAAAAGTGTTATACACACACCAAAAATATTACTCATTTCTATTTTACATCTTTGCCTCTGTGAAGCTGGTGTTATTGCAGCTTCTTTTTTTTTTTCAAATCAGTTGCATGATTGGACTTGGTAGTTTATGTAAAACAATTAATTGGCTGGGCATGGTGGCTCACGCCTGTAATCCCAGCACTTTGGGAGGCTGAGGCAGCAGATCACCTGACGTCAGGAGTTTGAGACCAGCCTGGCCAACGTGGTGAAACCCTGTCTCTACTAAAAATAACAAAAATTAGCTGAGCTGGTG